CAAATCTGACAGTAGTGTTGGAGAAGGTAAGTTCCTACAGGTTCCTGGATAAAGAGCTCATAGGCTGAGGAAGAAGATGATCACCAAAGAGGAGGCCCAGTGGTGGGCTTGGAAACCAGCAGCTCTGGGCTTGTCATAGTGAGTGTCAGCTCTTTCCTGTTACCGGCTGTGGTGGCAGCTAATGGCCTGAGTGCTCATGTACTTGCACAGTGACAAGGATCCAAGGGCTAAGCAAGAGGTAACAGGGGACAATGAAAGCTCTCAGGTGTGAGCATAGCTTTCGTATGGAGCTAAGGACTTCAATCTATAATTTATGTTCATATTATCGTCGTACTCATACTAAGGTCCAGTTTTACCCCCTTCTAAATGATTGATCAAAACAAGGTGGCCCCTGAGATCCCAAGGAACATTACAAGCTTCAAAACACTCGCCACCTCTGTTCTAGCTGATGGCAATTCACCCAGGTAACCAAACCATACAAAATCATAGAACAGAATCATAGAGAATGGTCAGGGTTGGAAAGGACCTTAAGACCATCAAGTTGCAACCCCCCTGCCATGGGCAGGGACACCTCACACTAAACCATATCACCCAAGGCTCTGTCAAACCTGGCCTTGAACACCACCAGGGATGGAGCATTCACAGCTTCCCTGGGCAACCCATTTCAGTGCCTCACCACCCAAACAGGAAAGAATTTCTTCCTTATATCCTATCTAAACTTCCCCTGTTTAAGTTTTAACCCATTACCCCTTGTCCTGTCACTACAGTCCCTAATGAAGAGTCCCTCCCCAGCATCCCTATAACCTCCCTTCAGACATGGAAGGCTGCTCTGAGGTCTCCACGCAGCCTTCTCTTCTCCAGGCTGAACAGCCCCAACTTCCTCAGCTTGTCTTCATACGGGAGGTGCTCCAGTCCCCTGATCATCCTAGTGGCCTCCTCTGGACTTGTTCCAACAGTTCCATGTCGGATCACCTCCTTCGACCTGCTGGTCACGCTCCTTTTGATGCAGCCCAGGATACGGTTGCTTTCTGGGCTGCGAGCGGACACCGAAGCCGGCTCATGTTCATTTTCTCATCCACCCAACACCCCCAAGTCCTTCTCCGCAGGGCTGCTCTGAATCTCTTCTCTGCCCAACCTGTAGCTGTGCCTGGGATTGCTCCGACCCAGGTGTAGGACCTTGCACTTGGCATGGTTAAACTTCATGAGGTTGGCATCAGCCCACCTCACAAGTGTGTCAAGGTCCCTCTGGATGGCATTCCTTCCCTCCAGGGTATCAACCGAACCACACAGCTTGGTGTCATCGGCAAACTTGCTGAGGGCGCACTCAATCCCATGTCCATGTCACCGACAAAGATGTTGAACAAGACCGGTCCCAACCCCGATCCCTGAGGGACACCACTCGTTACTGGTCTCCAGCCGGACATTGAGCCATTGACCACAACTCTTTGTGCGCGGCCATCCAGCCAGTTCTTTATCCACCGAGTGGTCCATCCATCAAATTGATGTCTCTCCAATTTAGAGACAATATTTGTCTATGCAACAAACTGCAGTTTTCTCATGCTCCTGCCTCTTTTCATGAGGACAGCCGTGAACAGGCTGGTTATTTTGCCTCCCAACTTGCCTAAAGATGTTCCTGCTGTTGCTCCTGGGTAACTGATCAGGTTATGGTATGCAAGGGTTTCTTGGGCAGAGGTCTGTGGACTCGTATCAGCATTTTTAACTGTGCCTGCAATAATGGAGCGACTCAAGCCAGATTCCCCTCTTCTGCTATTCAGCTCTTAACTAAAGATCTACAGGGCTTCAAACCTCTCCCTGTCTCCATCTGTTTACAACTACTCTCTTGACTGGGATTTTTCCTCTTGAGATTACAATTATAAACAGGTCCTCACTGTGCAATATCAAATCTCACAAAGAAATGTCAACACATACAGCTGAGGAGTAGTTTCACAGTTTAACTAGAGCTCCCCAAAAGCTGACAAAAGCAGGTTATCTAGGTGTGAACGCCAGACCTCAAAATGCCTCAAAGGTTCATGTTGAGAAAGGCGTAAAAACAAAACCAAACAAACCCTGACGCCTCATGCTGGGGTTCCAATAGCAAGGCATTACTGTTGGAGGCAGATGCCTTCCCACCCAGAAAGAAAAGTCATGACCAAGTCCTCAAAGCATCAGCTGAGAGAAATCTGCACTTGAATGAAAAGGGGAAACATGGGATATTTGACGTCCTTCACCACCACTATGCTTTATTAACACTGAGAAAGGTTTAACAAAAGCCTAATAGATTGTGCAGTTTTAGTTGCTGTTGTTGGAATGAATGAGAACAAACGCTTAAGAGCCCCACAACCAGGACTTGTCTAATTCCAAATACAATTTAAACTTACAATATTTCAATTAACAGAAAGACAACTTCTTTTTAAGTCTGAATGCTGGATTAAATCCCAGCCCAGCTGCCCATTAGACACACATGCAATGCCCAATAGCAATGACAGCCACCCTCGACTGTAGAATTGCATAATAAGAATGTCTTACTAGAAAGCAGGACACAGAACAGAAGAAAGATAGTTCAAATTCCATGGCACCACTGAACATCTTCCCCCCTATCCAAAGAATCAAAGTTTAATCAGCTCATGCATTACTAAAGGGAGGACACAGGACGGCTCACTTCAGTTGGACTCTGGTCCTGGACTTCTCAAGATCTAATACTAAGCAAAATAAAAGCAACAAAACCAGAAACATGAGCAAGGAAGATGAAGTTGTATGATACTTCATGTTCCAAAATGAATATTTATTACAACAAACACTGTCAGCCTGTCAAAGAGAGGGACAAAATTTTACCTGAGAAGACACACACTTAAACTCAACACTGTGTGAGCTGTCACTGAGCACAAACTACAATGCACGCTTTGCTTTGTTTGCTTTAACAGGTGCCTTGGTGTAACAGGCACAAACTCTCCTGGTGTCTGGTAACTTTTTCCACTGAATTTTGCATGTAGCCATTTTAACAAAAAATGCTTACTACTTACCCAACTTGCTTTTGTTCTCAAAGAAGAAATGCTTTTAGAAACAAGTAGGAAAATTCTACAGCACAGGAAGCTGCACATGAAAATGCATCTGAGACTTTCACAGCCAAAAAAGCTTGAATTAATGTAGGTTCATGAGGAGTATTTCACTGCTAAACTTACGTCTCTGTCAAGAGTAGCTCAAGCACAGATTCTATACAGCCAAATGTTTCTACCCTGGCTAGGAAGCTACAGCCAGGCTTAAAATACATACATATACATATTTATAACATTGGAAATACAGATGGGTATTTCAGAAGATCCCATCATAAAATGAATGCTTGTAACTTTGCACACTGAAAACACATTTAAAAGTCAGGTAGAGATATTTTTAGTTTTGTCTTGCTTATAATAATGCACGATGAATGGTGCTTTTAAAGGTGCATTGAATAACTCCCTATGAATAAGATTATGCTCAGAATTAGTAGTTGTCTCACTGCAGCACTTCAAAAGCTCACCTAGCCACCAGCTAAACGTCAATGCTGAGCACCCAGATTTGAAGACAATAAACCAAAATCTGTAATTTCTTCACAGTCAGTGTTGGGCATGTTTAGGAAACAGAAGAACCACCATTTTCCCCCCAACCAAATTCAAAATCATAGATTTTCTAGGAAGCTATTTTAGAGTTCACTCACACTCTTACCATGCCATGGCACTCACACTTCCAACTCCTTTACATGACACCACTGGAACCTTCTCCAATCCACTGTCTCTCAGCCTGTGCAATTACAGTGACATGTCCTGGTTGCTGGTGGTTCACTGGAACACACTTTTACCCCCCTCAACTATAAGCTACACAGAAATTCTCTCTCCATTGAAGGCATGTGTCCAGACAGAGAGCAGTAATTTTCCTACTAACAAGCAGGAAAGAATAATAGGATACATTTTGAGTTTTTCTTGGGATGACCAACAATAAATCATTTCCGAGCTCAAGTCACATCTTCCATGGGAAGAAAAACGTTTTGCCATCATTAACTTCTTTTCAGCTAGCAATAATATTTGATGAGGTTTTAAGTAATCCAACCACTAGAGTTTAATTAGCTCTGAAATGCATCTCAGATCATGAATCACACCCTTTCCACCTGCACAAGGTCCCCTGGCTAAGTTAAACGCGTATTTCACCTTCCATGCATGATCCATCTTCAATACCTAGTAAGATGCCCTTGCTATACAGATAGTTCATGTATCACAGGCATAGAACAGCAGACACACAGTCTCCCTCTTCAGATAACTGAGTTTCATGTCTTGCTTCACAGAACTGTTAAGAAAAACACCCAAAAAGCCTCTTGTGCCCATAACAGAATGGCCACTCCTTGCTTCATCTTAAAGGATTTCTCTTTGTCCAGAGAATCAGCATTAAGTAATTCAAGGCATCTTGCTGGGGAAATGAAGTAGCAGAAGTATTTCCTGTTGAAAGGCAGGGTACAGAGAATTGCTACAATTTTAGGCAAGACCACACTGACATTTTTCAGAGCACTGACTGATCAAAGAGCAGAATGTTTCTGTACTAACATTACATCAGATGGCTTCATCACACGCTGAGCAGGAAGAGTTATGCAGTCAACTAACATTTAGGGACATCCGTGACCAGCGTAAACCAGGATCTCTTCGAATTTATTAAGCATCATTTTTTTACATCAAATTACCTAAACCACAAGCATTAAACATACACAAAAAAAACCAGTTATTATTCAGCTGTCAAATATTTCTAAGTCATTATTATGCTTTTATCACAAGATCTCAATAATTATGATTGCATATTTTTCTTTTGCTGAAAAAGAGACAAGATTAGCAAACTCTTTGCTGAAGACAGAAATTCAGACACACAATCTACTAACGTGTCAAACTGTCAATGTTGCCTAATATTTGGCTTGCTCTATATATTTATTATTAAAAAAAGTTTTAGTACAAGCCCCTCTGTTTTTAAATAAGCTTTATAAAAAATAAACAAAACTGATTTTATTTCTCTTCTTCTCCCATCTTATTTATAGCATAGTAAAAAAAAAAAAAGGAAGACACATGTTCACGTGTTTCTGAGGTCTTCTTTCAATTTGAAGACAGCAAAGGTTTCATTTTCATAATAAATAAAGCAGTGAAAACTGAACTGCCCTACTGGATTGGACATCGCTTTACTCCAAATACTTCTTTTGGATGTTACCATAAATTGTAAATAATGTTGCTCTCAATTCAATGTGACACTTATCTAGTTATGCACATTTAAAAAGAATGGTGGGACTAGTGCACAGTAGAAGCTGCTGAGTGGTAAGTATGTACGGCATCTATTAAATACACATCCACTCTGAAAAATGTTTATTCATGCAGATGGTAAAAGTTTCAGTGAGAACTGACTCAGATTCACAAATCTATCCTTTACACTAAACAGCAAGTACTTCAAACAATCTCAGTTTGTGGTACTGTATTTGGTAGAAAACGTTTTTATTGGCTCCAGTTGTGCAGCTGGTATCAGTCACGAGGTTTTAAGAACTTTTTCTTAGCTTTTTTGCTAGGCCTTATCTCAATATTCTCACAATTTTCTTCATCCATTAATACACGCTGGTCTCTTCTTCTCATGAATTTCTTCCCTATTGTCCCCACTAATGTTTCGTATCTGTGAAGTTAATAAAAAAATTACAGCTTTTACTACAAACAGACAAAATTTCAATGGAGCAAATAATAAATCTAATCACCAGCTTAAGTGGTGTAAAAAAGCTGGTCATCAGAATTTTAAGAAGCACAAGTACTACATGATCACTTACTATACTATTAATTTTGGTAACATGGTTTTGTTAGTAATTTGGAACAAGCAGGAAACTAGCACAAAATACCTGGATAACAAAGGGCAGAAAACCCCTTTTAAGATATTTTACCCCCAAATATCTTGTATGGGGTTGGAGATTCTGTGGGTGGAGATTCCACTGAATACACACCAAAATTCCTTGAAAATCAGTCCTGTAAAGTACCATATCTGCTGGTAGTTTTTCTGTTTTACTTGTTTGCTCGCTTTTTGGGTTTGTTTTCCCCACATGTAATGCAGTAATATATCATATTCCTAGCTAATATTGATTATGTCCTAAAATATAACTTACCTTCTGGCCATTTCTGCATCTGACACATCAGCCTCCATTTTATCATCCACTTCAATTTCTTCTTTCTTATTCTTACAGTTCATTTGGATCATTAACTTCTGAGAATGAAGAAAGAAATAGCTTAACCACACAAGAAATAACTTGACACAATGGCAACTATGCTGAAATTCACTGGTAGGAGAAATGAGAAATGCATTAAAGATAAGAATCAAATTTAATAACTCTTTTGTTCCCAGTCAGGCTAGAGCATACTGCTAGGAAAACTCAAGAAGAAAAGGCAGCATGTCTGCCTGTTATTCTGCTTAGCTTAGAGTCTGCCTTTGGGAAAAGGGGCAACATAGAGACAGGGTATTAAGTATACTGCACTATTCAAACGTCCTAAAGGGGATGCCAGGCATCTTTGGGAGACCAGAGAATTAGATCATAATTAATTTTTCATTGTTATGTTAGCATACAGTCCTTGGTTTTGTTAGAGAAGGAAAAATATCTGCAAGCATACACAGTAAAAACCATGCAGCAATAATATGCCAAGTTACAGTGAGAGCAAGTTCAAAGTAACTAAAAACCTCCCAGTAATTCACTTTACATAGCCTTTTGCCCATCTCAGTCTTTACACCTCCATTCTCCTGCTTCAGTCCTGTGTTAATATTTTTGTTACTACCTCAGTGTAGTTCTACCAGCATGAATTATGAGAGAAAATCTCTTGCTCAGAACTTTTACTTTGGAACTTTAAGCCCTTACTTACACAAGTAAGTGCTGAATGTTTTTAGATTAGACTCTAATTAAATAGCAGAGGGAAAAGTGATCTATTGTTATGGTGAGCAGCATGTGGGACAGCTTCCTCACTTCGGGGAAGGAAAATCTGCAGGAGCCATGCAATTACTGGCCATCAATGCAAGGAGATAAAAAGCTTTTATTTACCAGATGCTGCACTGATCAACATTTTGGTTTCAATCACGGAGTTTCTGTACACGGGATGATTTATGGAAGGGGCTAAAATGGCCAAACAGCATGCAGTCTGAAAACTCAAATCCTCATCCCCAAGAGCTTCAATCCTAATGCAAGATCACCTCAAAACATTTAAATGGTACCTCAATTTCTGGATTGAATCCGTTGAAGGACATCCTGCCATAAAGTAGTTCCTCGCATACTACAAAGCTTCGCTCTTCTACGATAAAGCTCCTGCATGAAACCCCAAACCCAGCATTTTGTCAAACAGTGCGCCTCAAAATGATCAATTTAAATAAATGTAAAAAGGCAAAAATAAAAAGCTTCCCCCAATAAACAAAAAGCTTCCCCCAATAAACAAAAAGCTTCCCCCAATAAACAAACAAACAAAAAGCTTCCCCCCAGTAAACAAAACCACAGTGTATTTTAAACCATCAGCTACTTTCTGAAGCTTAATTGCTCTGATATATCTTCCAATGCAACGATCTTGGAGTGCAAAGGAAGAGTTCTTGCCAGTAAAGCTGTGCCAGTTCCACAAGCAAAATTAACTCTCTTGACAAAAAGCACTCTTTGCTGGTATGATTCCACCTACATGAATGTTTTTGCCAGAATAAAAATACCACATAAATATCACTCTCCAGGTGGCATTACTATACCGGCAAACGCTTCTAATTAATTTTTCATTGTGATGTTAGACTTGGCATTACTGAGTCTGTCAGGATATAAAACATCAATTCTCTGTTCAGCAGAGAAAGATTTCCCCTTTCTCCATCCTTTTTTCTTCTTTTGATGAGCACAGAGTGAGAAAAGAAACATAACCCTGAGGTGTTCATAAAACACATTAGGTAAAAGTACTTCTGTGAATTTTCCTTCCTTCTTTTCCTCACACATATATGCTTCTCTTTCTTCATCCTCTTCATCTTCCATGTAAAACAAAATCCTACAGGCACAGGAAGTGAGGCTAAAGTAATCAAGCTCATTCTCCCACCTCAGGTAGGATCAGTTCAACATGTACCATGAACAGCAGAGATCCATCTAAGCTGTCCAGTGATGAAGACTCCAGTGTCTCCTATGGCAATCTACTGCAATGCCTCAACAGCCTTACTGTTAGAAAAATTCTCCCAATGTACAGCTTGAACCTTCCTTACTGCAACTGAAGCTCAAATACCTATTTTATCAATGCCCTTGTTCAACCGCAGACCCTTGGATCTGAGCTTTTTAAAAATGATGTATGCTCTCCCTCAGTGGCATTTTTGTCCTCTTCTGAATGGACAAAAATTGAGCAATTTTAAAAGTAGTTCTCTTGCTATTTAAAGCACCTTTCATAAATAGCAGGAATGGACATTTTCTTCCTTATTAGTTAAGCCTTCCTTTATTTTTTGCCATGCTCTCTTCTATTTCAAAGCAGGATTTAAAGTGAGTTGGACTAAAGAAAACAGAACTGTCCTGAATGAACCCAACCGTGGGACTAGAGCTGAATTTACTAACACAGGGGTTTCAAACTTCCTTTTGCAAATCAAGGGAAAAAGCAGCAATAAATGAGTTGCTCCTTGCCTGAAAGAAACTAATTACATGCATCTAGAAGAATGTGCAAGTGAAAAAACACAACACACACAAGAAATGAAAGTAGGTCAAACTTCCCTAGACAACCTTGAGAACGTCCCTGAAAACAGGTAATAAAAAAAGCTGTAATGCCAGTCTGCCACTATTTTTACTTCAATTAATTGGTTATTAATAATACTACTATTATAGAAAAAATACGTATATTCTATTCCTACTCCACAACAATCTAATGATAAGAACTACAAAAGGGTACAAGCTTACTCTTTTGCCTTTTTAACTGGCACATCAAGATACCAGTGCTCGTCACTAATGACCTTCTTTTCTTCTTCTTCTAGTTCTTTTTTAGTTTGTGCATCCAAACCCTTTTGCATGAACTACAAAGACAGACACAAAAACACAGTTTCAATTTTTTGCATTATGAATATGTTCAAACATCCAACAATTCCATGACAACCATTATCCACTATATTATATTTAGCAGCTGATAAAAAGTAAAGGTTTTTTGTGATTTTTCCCTGGGTTTTGTCTAAGTTTGGGCAAAGAGGTAATGGAAAAGTAAGTAACAACTAATCACAGCTATCGGCTGGAAGTCAACAGTCATCTACAGACCTTTCCTGGTTAGTTTTGATTCTACAAGCTACTGAAATTCTCTAACTTTGCTAAGAGAGAACATACTGATGTTAGTTATTGCTGCATATCAGACACCAACATCACTCATACAAACGGCACTGGAGCTCAGAGTCAGAGGTAGGTTATCCCAGCTTGCCCATTTTTGGAATCATCTGCATTTTCAACCATCCTCTTATTTTCTACAATTTAATTTAATAAACTCGCTTGTGTTTGTAGCTCTGAAGGCTGGAATGTGCCTTTGGAAGTAGAAAAAGAAACAGAGGCTATGAAATGAAGTCTTCTGCATTGAGTTGTACTAAAGGAAGATGTAACCAGCTCTTAACTTCTCACTGATGACCTACCAAAGTATGAGTCAAGCAGTTATGTGTAAGCACCTTAACTCACTGCAGAAACAGTGCCAAATTAGCTGAGACTAGTAATTTAGTTGAGTGTAAGACTGCTATTTTTGCCTAATACAAGGATATTCCTGTAAATTGCTTCCTCAGTGACAACCACTGGCAGAGGATGGAAACAGGCAGATAGCAACAGCAATCTCTCTCACAGCTGCAAGTAAAAGAGGACATCTGTCACAACCTATGTAAAATCGCTGAGTGCAAAACGACTGACCTATGTGAAACATCCCTTTTACTTCCAGTTGTCTCAAGTCAGGTGCCTGAACTGAGTGACAATTAGGTATTACCAGTGTTAACCAAATAGGATAAAAAGCGCAGAAATCTCCAGAATCGTATGGTAATAACTCCCATATTCTCACATCCCTAGGAGGCAGGGCCTCCCTTAGGGTCTATAGAAAGTGTCTAAATAACTGCATCTGTCAGAGGTGTACCTTTATACCAATGTAATTCCCAGCTAGAGGCAAATCTACCAGTACAGTTTATATGCACTCCTGCAGAAAAATTGCTTTGCGGGTATCAAAACATACCTGTATGTTCAACACTGCAGAGGAATTCTACACCAGCTAATTTCACCCCTCTCATTTAGAGCAGCACCATTTTTTGTGTTTAGATAAGCCTGAAGGCTGATACGTAATGTGCCAGTGGGGAACACAAGGCTTGGCCACAGTTTAGGTCCCAACTAAAACAGGCTTGGCTGGGGATAGATCCCAAGAAGGTGTCACAGAACACTTCCCTCCCACAAAAAAAAAAACTAATGTATTGCTGACCTTGTTTGAAATATAATGGCAATACAGATCTGTAATATATGTATTACGTATACCCCACACATCTTTTCAGTCTTTGCAAAATGCCCCAGTAAACCAAATCAAACTCAAAGGTAAAAGCCAATACAAAGCTCCTGTGATTGTGAAACAGAAAATAAATATTTTCCATTTCTATTTGCATCCAGTGTACAAGATCTTTAATGAAATAAAAATTGACTTTCGTTTTCTGAGTCAATTCAAATCCATCAAAGCTTTCCAATTAAAATTACACTATCTTCTCGGGGAAAATAAGTGAATCTATCATGTGGAAAACCACACTGCTCAAGGAAATTGGTTAGCCAGTCAGAAAACTCAACAGAAGAAATTCTGTTACAAGCACCCAATTAAATAATCGTTTCACATTACGTTTTAAAGATTATGTTCCTAAAGATTAGTACATGAATAACTAGATAAAAAATATGTGATCACATTTATCTAAAATGTAAACACACACGGATGGATTAAAAATTAGACCCATTGTGGTCTACAGAGTATGTATATCAGCAACAGAGTGGTTATTTGGATTAAGTTTCCCCAAGCAATGGCACCTGAATCAAATGGTGCAAGACCTAAAGGCAGGATCCATCTTTTCATATCAAGCAGTGAGCACACATAGCCTAGCACTTAGTGCAAATGGTCTTCACAAGGCTACCACTGACCACATATCACCTTTGGATTCCACTTCACCAGCCTGCTGAATTGTGATAATACATCTTATCAGCACCTGTGGAGGCAGCTGCTAAAGGATTAATTAAAGCATTTGTAAACAAGAAGATCTGCAGAAGGGAAGTGCTAAATACAAGATCTGTGTATGACCTTTTTCGAACCTTTTCATCTCTTCAAAGCTGGTTACTACTGCCTGGACTGTAAACCTCCAAATGTCACGGCAGCACATCCACAAGCTGATTCTCCACAGGCTTTTATAGAAGAAAATCTAAGATCTGGGCTGTGAAATCTCCAGGGGGGTTAATTAACTGGCAAACAGCAGAGGAGTGGAAATTTAATTTTAAAACAGTGTTACAAAAAAAAAAAAAAGAAAGAAAAAATAATGATGCTGCAATCCAGAACTCTTATTCTATCATACACTGATGGCTAATTAAGCTCTACATCTACTCCCTTTTGACAGTTAGGCAAGCTGTGTTCCATTCCCTCTGTGCACAAGTTTTAGCCTTTCATTAGCAGCATCTGTTAACTGGGGTAAACATTCCACCATCTTACTGTGGCAGAGTATATTTTATGTGAAATATTGAACTGAAGTCAGCTGAACTCTTTCCAGACAGTGTCTGAAACACAGTCCAGTATAAATATGTGGAGGGAAAAATGGGTGAATAAAACATCACAAGCAAGAAGCCACAAAAGCCCTGTCATACTCAGCTATAAAAAAAATTAATGGATATTAACGTTTTAAAAGAACTTAATGGCAACTCAATTTTTACTGGTTGTTTTCCAGCAATAAAGAACCACCAATCACAGCAGCATGTACTCTACTGAATTAAGGTGTTGTGGTGCACAGTGTGAAGCAGAATCCATTAGCCAGTAAGTGTGGACTGATTTCACACTGGTTTTGACACCACAGTCACAATTCCAAGGGTAACAGGCACATCACAATGTTACTAACAGCCCTCGCATTTACAGCTTGGGAAAGGCGGTTAACACTGCCATTCAGGCTGGGTATTTTATTAGCCAGCAACATACACAGTCAAAAAATGGACACTGTAAGAAAAAATAAACCTTTTATTTCCCCTCAAGATTAAAACCCCTCCCAAGCAAGGTAAACAACATTAATATTTTAATTTCAACGTGTGTGCACGGTATGGGAAGAATTCTCACAACTTCTGTATTCACAGTAAGCTCTAAATAAGCTGGGTGAAATGAAAAGTTTCTCAAATGGTGCCCTGGAGCTGGCTCTTGCAGGGCAAGAGCTTTTACGGATATCTCGAAGTTGCTTTCCTGTCTTGAGACCCTCCAGCACCATACAGTTTATAACCGAGACCTCTGCCCAGCGTTTAAGCAGCCCGGAATTACGCGACAGCCCTCTGAAACTGGCCAAGTTGGAAGGGAGCAGCCTGCACTGCAGGCCTGAGTGAGCGGGCAAGCGAAAATACCCGGGGATGTACTTTAAAGCGTGGCGATGGGAGGCACGAAACAGGCCAGGACACAGGCTCAAGATGGCTGTCGCCAGGGCCGGGGCTGGGTCCGGGCCTCCCCTCGCCGCTCACAGCACGGCTCGGGCCTGCTGCACGCACCGGGCACCGCCGCGGCCTAGGCAGACGGTGCTGCCGCCAGCCCTATCCCTGTGTCCCTGCGGCCGCCTCACGGAGCCGGGCAGCTCCCCGCAGCAGCGACCGCACACCGGGCCCGGCAGCCCTCTCCGCACTCTACACCGCGGACCAGACGCCGGAGCCCCGCCGCCGCCGCCGCCCTCCACCTCACCTTCATGCGCAGCAGGTTCCTGGATAGCTTCGTCTTCGTCTCTCCGGTCATTGCGACAGGCATTGTCACCAGGCCGCGCTGGATCCCCAAGCTCGCGTAATGCGGAGGCCTCACACACCGGAAAAGGAGCGGGAGGAGGAGGCGGTGGCGGCGGCTCGGCTCCACCCTCCGTGCCCGGCCGCAGTGACAGGCCTCTGCGCACGCCGCGGAGGAGTGGCGGGGCGGGAGGCGTGTGTGGCAACAACGTCAAAGCACCCCGAATTCCGTTTGTCGAGCCGGTTATGTGAGGAGCGGGCCCTCGAGTTTGTGAGCAGATAATTCTGACTCGGTATGAAATGGTAAATCAGTAGAGGAACCTGAGATTTATCAATGCTTGTGCGTTCTGTAGTGCTGCAGGCTTATGGTTTCATCCATAATATTATGATATTTCAAAGACAGAAGAAAAGGGAGTGTGAAATCTACCTCATATTGGTATTTGGAGGCTGCTTTACTTATTTAGCTTTCGTTTTCAAACTGGGTATTTGCAAAATAATCACAAAACGGTCAAATGTAATTATAAAGTGTATAAATTCAAATAGACTGCAAAAAGCCTCAAAGCTTTGTTAGTCCTGAACCATGATCTTTGAATCACATCTTGGCAGTGCTGTCTTTAGGCTTCCAGGCTGGGCTCTGGTAGCTGAGGAGGCAATGCTGCTACAAAATTGCCAGCTGACTCCCAGTCACAAACGGGGACCATAATTTCTGTATATATCCTCATAAATCCGATTTCTGATGCCTGTTTTGACATTCAGCACATAAACCAGGTGATAGAGCAATAAGAGTGAGGGTTCAGTGTGCAAAACTTTAATGAACTGGTGTGCTCCAAAAGACAATACAGGCATAAGAGTTCTCGCATTTGCAAGATGTAGATCAAAGCTTGAAGAACTCTGTAAAGATTTATGCTTCAATAGAGTCCACAAAAACGTACAATGAAGGGCAAAACCTGGTTATAGTGGGAAAGGACAAATTAATCCACATCCAGGCATCCTTATTACGCAGTTAAGCTCAGCGGGTTAAAATCACCACATCACAGATGTGAATGAAACATGGAGCCACAATCACTTCAAGGCGAAGTCATAACATTGCATGGGAATATTTGATTTTCATATAGGCAAGGTCCCTTCATTTCCAGGCTCCATAAATGAATTGAAGATGCTCTGAAATTCAGGGTCACAGTGAGAAAGTCTTTGTGTGAGTGCAGGAGCTCTCCTGCTTCATTTGGCTCCATCGTGTTAGCTCCTTCTCTGTTCTCTTTCTCATTAACAGCTATCAAGCCTTCCGAGCAAAAGAAGGCTGGGAAGAAATTTGCAGTTTTGGGAATACAAATGTTCATTAAAGAATGAACATGTTTGAGTCTTAGTGAAAAAACCAATAGGGGAAAGCTGTTAATTAATCGAATGGCACAGTACAGTCATAATCTGGACACTTTTTTGTGTTATTTTCTATTTATCATGCATTCTAATAATGTATTTGCTTTTTGTTGATCACTGCAGATCAGAGCCCTGTGTTTAATTGCATGGTCTTTAATGTCACTCAGGGCTTTTTCTGAGCAGTTGCAGTTCATTTACAGTCCAGGAGTGTACTTTAAATGATTCCTTCGAAATACGTTTCTGCACAGTCATCAGCACTTCTTCAGCCATTGAGTGCCTGGCTGTGCTTGGTGGCCTCTGCCAGAGCTGTTCCTGTTGCCCTGTCCTGCCTGCAGGGCAGCCCAGCTCAACACTTCTTCAGCAGGCTGCTTAGAGCCTTGTTTTGGATGCATGTATCAGCTGCCCAATACTTTTGATGTGCAGGAGTGCAATACCACCAACTCTTTAATCTTTGGGAGCTGAGTAATAATGTACAATGCCATGCAGTGTCTAACTGGGAGGGGGACAGTGCAAAGGGCTTTCAACTCGCCGTAAGGATTATTCCTGGTGCTCCCTGACGAGAAAGGGCTCTGGATCCATAGCTTGAGCCCCATTGCACCCCATGTCTTGGTACCACGCTACAGACTCACATGGAGATGCTGCCACTGTCTTGTGTGTTAGCACATCAGCTAGCAACCCACCACAATACAGGCAGGGTGAAGTGTTTTGCAGTAAAGGCAGTACAGGCTGTGTGATGTTTATTTAGAAAAGTGGAAATTGTAAAAAGGCTGCCATAGAATTTGATGTATTTTGGCAGTAAAAAAGGTCTGAAGGAGATTTTTGGATTACTTCTCCCATCACTTGAATTGGATGGGGTGGTTACAGATAGCAATCAGCTGTCTCCTGGACCAGATTATACTGTCTGGTAAATCTGAAGACACTCCACTGATTACAGGAGAAATTTTGTGTGATTTACTGGTGATAGTGGAGGTAACTCAGAGAACAATCCGGCTCTATAAATATGCCCGCTTCTAAGGCAGAGCAAGGTGGGAGAGGTGCTCTGCTTAGGAAAGAGTCGAGGGTCATTGTAAATGACAATTAGACACCTCTCCCACAGTTCTGACAGCTGTACAGCAGCTTTGCCTTCGACCTGGAAATCCATTTCTTTTTCAAAACAAAAGTGCTCAGGGAAATAACTCAGGGGAAAGGAGCTCCATTTCATCAAAGACTGTACATAAAACAGGCAGATAAAAGATTTTTTGTTCCTAGGAAATGCAGCCCCTTCTTCCTTTAGTAATTACAGAAGTCAAATCAAAGTTGTCATTAACATTATTTAAGAAATAATCTGTCTTGGAGCCACTGAAGTGACAGCTGTGAACTGATTTCATGCCAATGGGATCTAATTTGAGGGAACTTGTGGGTTACTTTTTCTGTAACTGTTTATTTATTCATATTCTTGCAGTATTGTGATTTTAGTGAAAAATGTCTCAAACCTTACACCAGCCTATCTGGTGATGTGATTTTTAATGAGCTGTCTTTGAGTTCTGAAGCAGCTTTTTACAGCTCTCAGAATACCTGAAGCCTCCTCCCCCCCTTCAAACATAAAAATTCTTATAGTGTGACAGTGAATCATTAATTTGTGTCAAAATCCGTCACTGTGTTTTAAGTGAGGGTATTATGTGTTTTTCTCTATGGATGAGGAAAAGAAAATGAGAAGTAGAGCTGCCAGAGGTCTGTTTGCAAACCTGAAAGGAAGGTGTGAAGTGCTATGTATGACTGAGTGGAATCAGAAAGGCACTTTTATACCCCGTGCTCCCTACGGAAACAGCGTGGAACTCTCAGAGTGGTAGAGATGGCACAGGTTTCAAGTGGAAGTCTTGGTTTCTATCTCTCTTGCTCCCACCAAGCTCTGAGCTGCTAATACATGCAGTGTATGGACAACTGCTATGGTTCTTGGTGACTGGGGATTTGTTGGAATATTCATTACCCTTTGATGCATGCATGTATAACCTGCTGGCCCATGTGTGCTGCTCATCCTGCTTTGTACCTAATCCATGGAGGATATGCCACAGCTCTCAGCTTCAGCGTGTGGCGTGTCAGCTCAGGCTGCACTGACTCATCCTCTTAGCTTTTGAAGTCCCCTTTCAGTTTTGGCACCGGTTTAGGTGGCAGCAGACGCATGCAGAGTGTTTTAAATCCCTGCCCCATGTTCCTTTGCTGACCCCAAGGTTTCCTGTGGATGGGGACAATATGGAAAGAATGAAGCAGAAGGCCAACTCCTGTAATTTGGGTAACACAGATCCATATGCACACTTCACCACTTCATGGCTGATACTTTCCTTTTAATAGCCTTATGTGGTTCACAATTTGTGCAATGTGAAAAGGTGTACCTCAATAAAGTGCTTGTAGCAAAACAGAATTACAAAATGTCCAGGACAACCAAGATGTGTAGTTAGAGAAAATGCCTATTGTCAGTCTAGGAGAAGACAATTTATCATCAATGCTTTTGGCTGTCTGGGTGGCAGGGTACCTTTATGGGAATAAATACAGTAAGTCCTTTTTGATTACAGAAAAAAATAGCTTCATAATGGTAGCTCCCTATCTTCTACCACCACCTCAAGTGGTGGGGGGAGCACACACCTGTCTGTCATTTTGCTGGCATACAGAGATGCCTAAAAATTTGATCCTGTGTTGCAATTATTTAATATATCCCAGTGCTAGGAGTCAGAGCAAAGAGAAGGACTGAAGAACAGTGTGGACTGTCCTTCTCTTTGCTTTCCTTTAAAAATTGAGAGGCTTTTAACTTTTGGGATTTGACGGAATCACAATTAAAAGAGAAAAAGAAAATATCACCTTCCGTTTGTTAAGTACAAAAATGCAATCCAGCAGTGCTTCTGGTGCTTTGCTATTTCCCAGGTCAATAAATGGCTCCCCTGACTTTAATAAACATTGATGCTGCAGGCTTGTTCTACAATGATTGAACCTTTTTATAGTTTCAACCACTCACATGGCATCAAAGCTTGACGATTTTTTTTTCCCCTTTCTTTTTCAGAAGGGTTTCTTCTGATTGATTAAATTGTCATTTTCTGAGTTAGTTGCTGAATTATAACTTGGTGTTTTAACTGTGGGATTTGTTTAAAGAGACAGGGTTTTGATATAGCAAACCAGCTGAGAATTTTTAAGCAGTAAAAGGGAATTTTACTGACTTTGTTCTCAGCCTTTCATCACTGCCTGACAAAAGTGCTCCTGAAAACAATGTAGAGGCAATGATATGAGAAGGTACTTAGATTCACACTCACTTCTTTATTCCATCATGGAGCTGATCTGTGTGGTATTATATTGCTTTCAATTAGTAGTGAGACACCCCGTTGTTGTTTATCTTTCCAAGAAGAAGGGAAGGAAGGGGGAATCAAAGACATAAATGTGAGTGCTACCCAAGGAGATCCTAAGAGTAACTGACAGAACTGTTCTTTGGACCAACTTATTTACCCCTTAATAGGCACAATGGATTTCTTTGCACCAAAATGATGGGCACTGAACACACCGAAGTAAAATAACTGCAATGTTTTCATCTAAATCCACACTGGGGCTGGTTCAAATGGATAAGCACCTTGTAATTCTTTAGACATGAAGAAAATCACATTGATGTGATGATGCATTAATTGTTTTGTTTAACCAGCTGCCACATTCCTTTCCTGTGGATAGCTGCTTGGTTTCAAGGTCTGACTTATTTTTTTTTTCCTTTTCTCTGTCCCCCCAATTTAAATCTGTATTTGAGACAGTAAAG